TCATGTTAATATACGACAAAGAAGACAAAGAAGATTCGAAGAATTATAAGGCCATAACTTTACTAAGCACAACTTATAAAATTTTCGCTAGCTTAGTAAATACAAGACTTTTTAAAACTGTGTTGGTAAAATCTTTGGGATCTAAATATCGATCAAGCAACTTAATATGTAATCGAGTCATCCTTGGAATTGAATCCGTATGTCTTCTCTGAAATGATATGTTTAATGCTATATCCAAAGCTACCCTATAGAAAAGTTTTTAACAAAATTAGTTTTAATTGTCGAGTATTTTTTAAACTTAGGTATTTAAAAAGACGAAAACTAAGATCCTTATAAACTTGTTACTTCCCGAGCGTAGTTAAGGAAGAATTGTAATACGGCCCATCCGACGAATGGTTACTTTCACGTTTTGTCGACGTTTTATGACCCCTAGAGAACGAAAGCATAGTGTCCCGTTTCTGTTTGTCTGTCGTCTGCCGTCCGTCCAGATTTATATTACACAATAATCTCCAAAACTACCAGGCCGGTTGTTATCAAATTTCATATGTATGTTAAGAATATTGTGTAGATGGTAAAACGGTACATGGTAAAACGCTAACCAAAATTTGTCTGACCATCCCCACTAAAAAGGGATGTCATCTCCAAAATTTACAACAGTAAATATTATTTACATTTTATAGAATAATATACTCTTGGATTTGTGATTTATGAATCCGTGCTGTTTTTAACCTAGACATCCAAATTTTTGGAATAAAAATATCAAAATTACGTTTAACATTTTACAATTTAATGTTGAAACTGCAAAATGGTTTGAAGTCTTGCAAACGTTTCAAGGTTATCGCAGGCATAGTGAATCAGTAACCAAAAATTATCGGTTTATCCCCTCCCAAAAAAATTGATGACGTCATCTTAACATTTCAGTGAATACATCATATCTAAAAAAATCTGTATGTCTCGGCTAAAAAAAAACAACACGGATTCATAAACTACACTTGTAGGACTATGTTATTGTATACAATTAAAAACTCATTTACTATGTACAATTTTGAGGTGACGTTATCACATTGTTGGTGGGGATGACTAGACGAAGTTTAGTTATCGTTTCACCATCTACATGATATTCGTAATACACACATAAAATTTGTCAATAATCGGTCCGGTAATTTCGGAGATTATCTGACAGACACAGACGGAAACGGAAAACCTATGTTTTTGTATTCTAAGGGTAATGACATGTCGAGAAAATGTGAAAGTAGCTAGTCGTCCGATGGACTCGATTACAATACTTTCGTAGCTTACGCTCAGGAAATAAAAGCAGTTGAAGCTTTTCTAATCTTCAAATTATTCTTATATAAAATTTTTGTGAGACCTTCTGTCCCTTACTCACTCTATTTATTGCTTTATCCGTATTGACTGTGTGAACAAAATCCTCAATCACAGTTCAGAAACTATTTGTGTCAAAAAATATGAATGTTACTGACGTTGTTTTCGACTGAAGAATGATTGCTGAAATAATGTATATGAATAGTTTGAATTTGAATATCTTATACCAATTAGTAAGATGCTTTATCACATCATTAATTAAATGTAACAAATTTGTTGTTTTTTTTTCTGATAGTCTGAACTAGCAATAAAATTCTTGAAATAAGAAAAAACAATACTTTTTTTCACGAGTAAAATGTAAATAAACCAATAGTGAGGTTAAAAACAGATTAGTCCACGGTATACGCTTTCAAAAGTCAAAACATGAAATAATATCGCGAATATCGTTTCTTGCGCATGCTGTTTTGAACTATTTACTATACGATTAATAATGGTACCAACTTCAGAAAATGTTGATTATACAACCGAAATATACTCAACCACTGTTTCGCTACTGAAATACTGGTTCTTGGTTAAAGTTTTGGTAAAAATGTAACCATGGTTTGTTAACTACGTTTTTAACGAACAACTGAAATACCTGGTTAACAAAGCATGGTTACGCTTTTCCCAAAACTTTAACCAAGAACCGGTATTTCAGTAGCGAAAATACTGTTTCTTGTGTTAACAGTTGTTACAGTTGCTGTTGTTTCACATAAGATTTTAAAGCAGATTGTAATATTTTCCAGAAAAAATGTATTGGTAATAGTATATTTTATATCGAGAGGGGGAACGAACTGATTACAGTGCGCGGGCCAAGGTTTGCAGAACGAGGCGAAGCCGAGTTTTGTAATAATTGGCCCAAGCACTATAATCTGAGTTCCCACTCGAGGCATAAATATCATTTTTTCTACAAGCTATATTTCAAATCCGAAAATTTCAAATAATTATTGTAATCGTTTAACAGTTCATTAATAAACTAATAATGTTTAAAAAAAAACAATGCCAAATTTGTTTATTTTTTGACGTATGTGGTTTGTTCGTTATTTTGTGAGTTCTGAAAGCAAGAAAGCATAAATGTGCAACAATACTATGGATTTTGTGAATTCTGCTTTTGATTCTGATTCTGAAGAAGCAGGAAATCATATTCCTCCTGAGATTGCAGCAAGCGCCGCAGTAGAAGAATGGTTTCCCGTAAAATCAAGGGCTCGTTATGAAATGGTTTATAAACAATTTCAATCATGGTGTCAAAAGAAGAACGTGAAAAATGTAGTATCCGAAAGTATACTGAAGAGAACACAAAAGGATTTAAGTGCTCTAGCATGTGGAGTCATTACTGCATGTTGAAATCAACGATGAATATAAGACACAATGTCAACATTGGTAATTTTTCGAAATTAGTCTCCTTTTTAAAACGGAAGAACGATGGTTACAAAGCTAAAAAATCACGAGTGTTTTCCAAAGAAGAGTTTTATAAATTTCTGCAAGAAGTTGAGGATAGTAAATACTCGTAATTGATGATAAAGGTACGATTTGACAATATGTTGTGTGCATTTGAAAATTCTTGTATTTATAGGTAGCTTTCATTTTAGCCCTTGCCGGTTGCGAAGAGCAGAATTGACTAACATGTCCACTGATGATATGAAGATAAAAGTGCTGTTCTAGTAATTGGGGTCCTAGGGACGAAAACTAAAATTTGCCGAACATTTACAATTGTTTCTGGAGATACAGAAGGGATCAACTTACTGGCCATAAGCATCTTTTCGCAATCTACAGACATGAAAGGTGTACAAGACAAATGGTTGGAATTAATACCATAGGAAAAATACCGTCTTTGATAGCCGAATATCTTGATCTAAAAAATCCTGCAGAATATACAGGTCATGCATTTAGGAGATCATCAGCCACATTTTTGCCGGACGCTGGGGCAGATATTCTCCAGTTAAAACGGCATGGCAGCTGGAGATCGACAAGCACGGCAGAAATGTACGTAGAGGACTCAATTCAAAATAAAGTGAAGACAGCTAACATGTTAGAAGTTAATGCAGGAGGTTGCAGTGAAAATATTGTTATCACCGAAACCAAGAAAACAGATGATGATAAAGAAAATAAGATTATTGGTAAATCTCCAGCAATACACATTTCGAATTGTTCAAATTGTGTATTCACATTTAGTTCTCTGTAAATTGTAAGTTTTGTTACGAGTAAAAAATATGTTAAAAAAGCATTATGAAATGTCTTTTATTAACAAAAATAGCGAAAATTTTGCGACTGAAAAAGCTGCGCACGTGTGCCTGATATGCAAACCAAACGCACGCTGCACGGATTTCGGTAGATCATTTGTTGTCGGTAATCAGAATCACCAAGTAACAAAACGCTTGTAGAAAAAATGATTTTTTTGTTCATTTCATTTATAATGAAAAACACTAAAAATGTATAGTGAACCAAGAGCTATAAGGTTATATGGCCATCATAAAATCATCCCATTGTGTCGAAGTTAAGTTGGTTACAATAGAAAAGGTTTTAGGGTCGTAAATAACGAGTCCACTACAGCTCGACCGGCTCTTGCGGTTTCGTTCAGGGGCGGCTTTCACTAAATATGAAATCCACCACTCCACTATTTCTTTGCTACCTGCAGCCGCTGAGGGTTCCGAAATAACCACTCGCTTTGAAAGCCGGCCCTGTTAAATATGAGCAAGAAATGTTTAGAAGATGATTTATTGCCAACCGGTAAGCTTAGTGCGAACCACACAAAGGGGGTATTTATTTGCGGTCAACTAATTTTATGATGGCCATATAACCTTATACCTCTTGGTTCACTATACATATTTATAAACTCATAATATCTCATAGCACTGATAGCACTACATTAAAAATGAACTACATTAAACTAAAAATGAACTTGACTAAAACAAGGATACATTGTTTTAAATTCTGGACATGTTCCTTCTCCAATTTTTATTCTTTCGGCCTCTTCGTCTGCAGCTGTTTTGCGCTTTTAATTTTTCTTGTTCTCGTATCACTTTTTCAGAGGATTTTTTTCGCACCAAAAAATGGCATTAACACGTATAAATTTATGTAACGCTTCTAAGTGTTAAGTGAAAGCGAAGAAAGTTAGATCTAAATATTTGAAGAATGTTTCATTTATTTTTGAAGATAACCTCAAACACAATGACAGATCATGACATTTATTTAATAGTTCAAATTACTTCGAAACGTATGATAGAGCGACAATAACAAAACATTAATTTGTTTTCAAAGCCAAGTTGACTACAATCATTTGTGATGACCTGTATATACATATATTTAAAGTCGCAGACAAACTTAATGACAAAGTGGCATCTCAACAGTAACCTATATTCATTTGTCTAAATTTTGAAGCTTTTACCACATTTAAAGGTCAAAATAGAATGATAAGTTCTATTTTTCATGTGGATTTGATGACCTATGGTGTTAACCCATATTGGTACCTGCTACCACATCAAATTGTGATTAAACCCACGTTGCTGAGTATGACCTATAGAAGTTAATAAATAATGTACAAATCTGAAAATTTTGACGCAAATGACGTATTTTTGTTGCCAAGTTTTGTCTGCGACTTTGGTACAATACAATAGTATAGTGTGTATATCGAATTTCAGGTTTCAACAAATGCGGTGTTTACTCCTTGTTTCCGGGTGGTCCAACATTTGGAAGTGCATTGTACTCTCATGCTCGCACAATAGGACAATTTACTTCCGGTCATATCCAGCAATCTTCAGGGAATCCATTTTATCATAAAGGTAGGTTATGTATGTATGCATGTATTGAATATTGCATTGTTATTAATAATAATTAAGGGGCCAATAGATATATTTGTTCAAATTTGGTAAATCAACATCAAGTTTTGGACATCATTGTTAATATTGAAAATACTTTTATTGCATTTTTTTGTCGACTACGTTATAGAACTTTACGATCATTGTATTTTTTATCATTTACCGCGTTGTTTCCACAGTAGTGGAACTGGTTGCTACGTCCACACGACGGTAAGTGAATTATTTACCGTTTAGGCGAACGGTAAGTAATCATGTATTCAAGATTATGTTTATGCCTAGGCGAAATCATTGTAGCAAATTTTGTAAACCAAAAACAGGCTTGGTTGATGTTTTTCATAGCAAGACTTGATGAAAATAAATTTTGATCATACTGTAGAAGTGTAGATATCTTTAGTGCTGATATGAACGGATTATCAAGTCATTTGAGTGGAATAAGTTACATTTATTCAATTTTTAGATTCTTAACTATTTTTATTAAATCTTTAGCAACCCTGACAAATCAGTTTTTACGTATACTCGAGAGAAAAGTACGTCTTTATTTTATAGAAAATAATAAAGAAAAGTGCCACTTTTCTTGTTAGCAACACTTTTCCAGTTCCATCCGCTTCATTTAAATTTTTTGTAATACTTTTCATAACTGTGTTTCGATTTCACACGTATGTACTAAATTTACAGATTATTTTTTACATTTTTTGCATTGTGTTCACTTGGTTGCTATGAACAAGCATGTTGTTGTGATAATTGTACATTTTTACGTAGACATGATAATCATAAATCAAAAATTATTTTTGAAATTCTATTAATTTAAACTTTTAAACACTGGGTATAAGAAAAATGTGTTTTCCATTCTAGCTTCGCTCGTTGATTAAACCTTTTACACCCACTGGAAAACTACCACTTTTCTTTACTAATTAAACAGTCTTCTATTTATCCACAAGTGAACTGCGAAATTTTTATTTCACTGATAGATTTTTCGCTCAGAAAAATAAAACGGCTGATCAAGATTTTCATCCATTTTTAGCAATTTCGACAAAATACCAATTGTTTACAATTTTCATTGAAACGTTGCTGCAATAGCAAATATTCTTTTCTTTTTTTGACCAATTTTTTAAACACCTAATGTTAAAATAAAGCTAATCATGGACTGTTAAACTACAGATAAAAAGGCATGTTTTGCGTTGTTTCTTGTGAGTTTTCCATAACAAAATTTTGTTATGACGGCATCAACATTTTAGCAAGGACACTTATATCAATTTGAATAGGTGTGATGCGTGCTTCCGAGGTTTACGATGCGTAAGCTTAACAAGTATGATAATAGGTGCGGTGTAACACTAATAGTAACAGTACTGTATTTTCAGGAAAATAGGATGAACCATTCTTGATTTAATCAATAAAAAAAAGCTGGGCACCGGGTTTATGAACTGGACGAGTTGTCCATGAGCTACCTTAGGCTTGTATTATGTGTCTGAAGAAGAAGACAGATTAAACAATAAAAAAACACAATAATAAGAAACAAAACTACAGTAGATTCATAAAACACAAGTACAACAGCATATTATTTCATAAAATTTAGATAACCTTAACTGCGCAATATAATGGACGGACGTCATCAAATTGTTGATGGGGACGATTAGACAAGTTTTGATTAGTGTTTTACCATCTACACGATACTTGTAAAATACGTATAAAATTTGACAACAACAATCGGTAGTAGTAGTTTCGGAGTTTTATTTTTCTAATAGGAATCGACGTAGACGACAGATAAATGGAAACAAGAAACTACTTTTTTCTTTATTTAGGGGTCATGAAACGTCGAAGGAAAAAAGTAGCCAATCACTCGTTTCTATGGAGATTCTTTTAACAACTAATCGTATTAATTATTATTTAAAAAACTTAATGGTATCTTTTAAATAGGTGAAGACACAAGGTGTATCACATTTTAACGTACAAACCACTACATTAAAAGAAAAAATTAAACCAAATTTGAGTGTAATTCGTATCTATGACCCAACACACGAACGCGAAACTCAGGATTTAATTTTTATATTTTATTATTAAAAATAGGACATGTTTTTTTACCTAGTGTATTATTATTTACGCAATTCTTTTAATTTCATATGTTTTAAATTTTGGTAAGTCAAACATAAACTCAAAATGTTTTTGATAAAGCCTGATGATAGATGTTCGATATCCGAAACATGTCACCCCATAAATAAATAAATATCTATAACCCCTCGTTTACAATCACTTATAATTATACTTATACTTAAGTGCCAAAGTTTCAGTAGTGTAAAACTAATGGAACTGTTTACAATAGCAGTTATGTGCAGGAATTACTACTTAAGCGAAAAGTAGTTCCGTTGTCCCATCGTGCATACAACACATTGACTGCCGCCTTATATAAAATTAAATCAGGCCCCTCACGCCACATCAATTTTTTTACTTCAAATATAAAAAATCAATGAACAAACGTATTTTCATTATATTGCGAAATTTACCTTTGCTTGTTTTTAGGTAAATATAATTTTTTTGATGTAGTGACACATTGGTATCACGCGGCACCTTAGCAACCGTTAAAGCCAATTTTGCCTTGTGAGACCAATGTGTGTCACCACGGATTTTCCCGTCCCAACTTACACAGATGCGCTGTTTTCTGTGTCCACTTGCATTTACACGGATGTAGACAGGTATTATTTACGATTTCAAGATGTATAACTTACATCAAACACTACATTATGCATTTTTTTTTTTGACACATATGTTGCGGAGATGTATCTAGCCGCATGAATCCACCTTGGTCTCACGTACAAACAGGCCAAATAATGCATCTGGTTCACTGTGCCGAGCACATTTTAGTGCCATATAATTTAATGCAGTTCCAGAGTCCAGTGTTGCTTCACACGGCAAAATATGTCGTTCAGCGGTGTCAGTCCACATGGGTCTCACGGGGCATGTACTGCCAGTACGATCGTGAAGCCATATTGGTCTCACACGGCAGTCAACGTGTTAACAAATCTTGCAGGCTTCTACCTTTCTGCACAAATTTTATAATTGCACCAATTACAGGCAGAATTGTGCACAACCGCCATATCATACAGGCGCGTCCATTCCGATCAACTGTTTGTGTTTATTTTCAATTCAAAGCCCGCTTCCTTTTGAATTTGGCGAGTATTTTGATTGGCTACTTATTACGATTCTAATTTCGTAAGCACTATGTTGTAAACAACCCACAAAGAGGTCCAAGTTTGTAAGTATAATTTGTAGGTATCACTATACTACAAGTATAACTATAATTATAAGTGAATGTAAACGAGGGGTAAGAAATAAAAAGAAGTGGTTTTGTTTTCACAATACACCCTAATAAATTACAATGGCCACTTTCATCTCCGTTGATCAAATATATTATACTATACCAATTTTTTAACAATAATAAATCCTCCAGACAACATTCCTTCAAAAATGACTTTTTACCTGTATAAAAGCAGTTCAAAAAATTTTTGTTTTGAAAATATGTATGTATCTGGATAGAAGAGATTAAGAATTTTCTTTCGGTTGGAATCGCAAATAATTAACTCGCCTGACTTTTTTTTATATAGAGACAAAAATTATTGTATTCCGGAAATTTAATCTAAAAATCGCCTGTAATCAGAAACGTTTGAAGAAATTTAATAAAAAATCCATGTTCTCAATCAGCAGTATTTAAACAAAGTAATATATATTAGCAAATTTAGAAAAAAATACTGCTTACAACAGATGTTAATAAACGTGTTGATTAGAGCTGCCTTTACACTACAAACTTAACATTAACTGGACATTAGATGATGTAATTTCACAAAACAAGTAATGGCATCTGTGAAGGTTAGAATTTGCTGGTGATCGGTATTTAAGTTTTGTATTGCGGTTGCATTGTATTTTTTCTCTCAGCAGTAATTGCCAATAAATTTTTAAACAATATGATAGAAATTAGTAAGTACCTACACGTATAATCATGTTGCGAGCCTCAGTAGTGTAGCAAAGTAAGTGACAAGGTTGTATTTTAATATGTTATTTATTAATGAATTTATGTTACTCAATCAGAGTAACATCTGTTGCTGGAATTGCGATCAATAGAAAATATAATAAAATCTGATAAGATTATTCCAATTTTATATAAATTGTTTTTGTTATGTTTAGATAAGAACCGACTCAAAACAGAGTAAATGTTTGACAAACTTTGGAAACAACATTCCGATTTTCAAGAATATTTTGTCCTCGGTTTAAAGACGTCGCTTGTTAAAAGAACAGCATTTTATATTAACAAGGTTAGACGATAAAACTCTGTATTGATGGCAACGTAACAAGTGTGAATCACCATTTATTGGGGAGTACGTCATCGTGTTCAGATACCATTTACGAACTACCACGGAACAATAATTCGTAATCGATTAAATAAGTAATAACATATTGCAAAGCCGTTATAAAACAGCCATCATTTTGAAACGTTTAATAACTACTCCACGAGTAATCTTAGTTGATGGTAATGGTTAGTGGTTAGTTTTAAAACCGGTTGTGAAGGTCTAATAAGAATTCAATTTGCACAAAGTGAAGGAATCGCGGTTTCTTGGTTAAATTTTCTAAAACACATTTAGTTTTCTAAATATCCCGCGATAGATAACATAATTTTTTTGAAACTATGTTTTTTTGGAATATAAAACAAAATAATAGTCACCATAATTAAAAGTACTAAATACGTTCACAAATAAACAATAGTTTATAGAAACGTACTACTTAGTTTCCCCAAGTGGTATAACATGTGGTGACAATCAAGAAAACGGGTGATTTTTCTTTAAGATGTAATTGTTTTGTAAGCGTCGTTAATGGTTCTTAAAAAACATTTGTTGATGATATAAATTAAGCACTGTAATATTTTATTTCGCGTCAGCCAAGATTGTCTTAATACATCCGTTCCTAAAGGAGTGGTTTTT